TATATGAATTATTGAAGATACATTTGATTCTTTATAAATGAACTTGTAAATAAAAAATATTGACGATTACTATTTATCAGTTAACTTTCGCAATTATTGCAATTTGTTGCAATATCGTTTTCTTTCTTTCTGCAAGTTATCTTTAAATATAATTACTCACACAGACAATAAATATGAAAGTTCATAATATAAGTATTAAAATATTGATAAATAGTAGCACAGAAAAAGAAAGTAAATAAATCTGAGGTAAATAAATCTAGTGTTTGAAATAAAAGATTTTTATTATCTTGTTTTTTAAGAATTTTCCTTGCGAAATATTTTTATCTGTGTATTTTAATCTATTTACAAATATATCTTGCTTACATTAAATTAATAAGTATTCTTATAAGTTCTAATTTTCTTTGTTTTATTTGGAGAATAAGTTATAAATTGCCGAGAAAAATGCATCTTTTATTTCTATGTGCATTACAAGAGAAGAAGAATCCGGTATTTCTAAACATTGAAGATTACAGATTTTATTCAAAACTAGTGATTATCAATTAACGAGTATTGCACTCGAATTTTTTAATAAATACATATTTATTCTTATTATATTCTCTTTTTATACGCCTTTCTAAGGCATGAACACATTTTTATTATAGAAATTTTAATATATTTTAGAATAGCTATAGTATATTTATCTTATTTTATACGACTAATTGTTGTCACAGCAATAAATTTATATTACTACTCTGACACAGTAATTCTCATAGTTAGACTTTTAAGTACATTATTCATCAACAAGTAATTATTTTGTAAATTGTAAATCCACATTTCGCAAATTCTTACTATTTTCAATGATAACTTAATTGATACTTTTCTCGTTTTATTATAATTATAATTAAACAGTTTTTAAGAGCAGGGAGAGAAGAGCGTACTTACTAAATAAAAATAGCTAATTCGAAATACACTTAATTGTAGGTATATCAATTTCCATACGTAATTGAGCAATGTAATTTGCTAGATCAATAAAATTTAAATATTGATACATAGGATTGGCAGTTACTTGTAACGCCGTTACTTTGTTGATCATTACCTTATATCAATAGATCTAATAATAATTTGATAATAACATTGAATTTTTTATGACGGTAATGATAACATCAGAATAAGAAAAATCAATCGTTATAACGAAAAGTCATTCGTTATTGAAAAAAATAACTCCTTTTTCCATTAATTTGTAATCCGTTATTTTTTTATTTGCGTTACTTGTAACGTTGCTCATTACTTATTACTTTTTTTTAGTAAATAACGCGTAATGATGACAAATTATTTTTCAAAGTGACTTTTAAAATCTTAGCTTTTAGTTAGTTAGTATTATCCTCATAAAAAATTGTAACATCGTCATCAAATTATTTACTATAGAAAGTAATGCTAAAGTAACTGATAAATAACCACGTTTACCAATCTTGTTGATACACTTTTAGCAAATATATGTGCGTGCGTGCGTGCGGGTATGTGTATAGAATACTATCTTATTGAGCTGAGTAGCAATATGAAAAGTATGGAAATGAATTGGATATTTTGAAATAAGATTGCGACGGTCTCTGATAAATATAAATTCGATGTTTGTAGCTATGAAAGAGTGGGATGATCCGAAATCGACGTGTCTTCCGTGTCTTCTTCAAATTCATTATCGCTGTTTAAGGACAGATGCTCTCTTAAAACTAAAGAGCGCATTTGTTCTAGGACTTGATGCAAGGAATCCGACCTCTGATCTACTCTATCGTTTAGAGGTGTAGCGTCACCACTTGCTGTTCCACCTGCAGGTGTCTGTGGCGTATTACTAGGTGGTATAGGAGTATTTGTGCCGTCTCCTGTACCTGTAAATATAATATTCGACCAAAGATATGCTTATAAATAATTTTGAGAGCTTTTTAGCAAGAGACGCAGATGACATAGTATAACATAATGAAAATTAGAGATCTTATAAGAATCTAGTCAGAATTTGAGCGATTTTGTTAAAATCTTACAAGATAAAAAAGTACATATATTGTCTCACTTTAAATTATATTGTTTCATTCTGCAATCATTAAAATTATAGAGTAAGGCATTAGTTAGGGTAAAAGTATATAGAGGGAAATGGTATATATATCTTTCTCACAGAATTTTGAAAAAATCGCTCGTGGTCAAACTTCGTTATAAGATCTTTGCATTGAATTATTTCATCTTTATTTAATATGACAAATAAAAGATGTAATGATTCATTGTATGAAGCATCAGATTAGAAATTGAGATCGAGATTGGAATTTGAAAATTAAAGCAACGTTCACTCGATATTGATTTTCTTTCTTCTCATAAATTCCAATCTAATCTCAATCTCTAATTTGATACGGGCTTTGCAATGTGTCATCTGAGTTTCTTAATGGAAAATATTATTTCAATCTTACCCATACTATCACTTGCAGGACTAGCTGGTCGTTCTGCACCTCTTATTTCTCTGACAATCTCTTCATCCTGTACGTTGAGCCGTAATCCAGCAACTCCTTTTCTTGGAACATTATATAGATCTCTTTTGATTCTCCTTCGTCTAGAAGGATCATTTCTACGTAACTGGAGCATCGAACCAAAGTCGGCAATGTAAAGAAATCCTGCAATCAACAACTCGCAGGTCCTTTTACCCTGTTTATATGCCGTTTCTAATTCGATACTTGTACGCTGATCATATTGCCACCAACCTGTAAAAATTTACTTAAAGCCATTTGTTCCATGTTACAATAAGAAAGAGAATAACCAGATCATGCGTCATTAAAAGTAAATTAACAGACATGTAAAAAACTGCAGTTGGGAAAATATAAAAAGAAACATATTTTTAGTAGAATATGATTTTATTGAAAAAAAAAAATATATGTATATTTCTTTTATGTTAAGCGTCTTAGTTATATATTATTATTAGCATTAACTTTTTTAATTGTTAATATACTTCATATACTAGCAAATATAATTCTTGCGCACACATTCCATTTTTATTTCTAATATTGTTTTTACTTATGCAATGCTTCATTGAATGGGCGTACACAGAATTTCAGTCGAGGGAGAGGGCAGACAAAAATTTCACACAAAATTTATTAAAATATACCTTCTTCCAGCTTCTTTCTTTTCGCGAGCTAGCTTCAGTAAAGCTATTAAAGAATCCAAGAAAGAATTATCAGTGTTTTCTTTTTATGACGAATTCGATTGGACACTAGTGCGCAGTAGTGCATATTAAAGCCATTGTACACCGATTTGATTTGTAATAGGAAATGCAAATATTTCGAATTATAAAATACATATTTTATTTAATGGCACAATAAAGTGTCGAATATTTCACGATTTAACCGGTTTTTATATTTATTTATAAACATATCTTTACTTGTGTACGACAGTTTTAATGTGCACCAGTGTGCATTGAGTGCGTCAAATCGAATTTGTTATTTTTTATTAAATCTAAATGTATAAAATCAATCATATTAAAGAATTTTACAACAGCAAAGTTGTTGCATTTTCGACTGAACGCAACTAATAATTTTTATAATTTATTTCTTCTTGCCAAAATTTAGGGGAGCAAGCGCCCCCTCCCCCCCTACGTACGCCCATGCTTTATCGTGTATAATATAAAATATAATTTTAATACAATATTGTGTATATAAACATAGTTCAATATTAATAATTGCTGTAAAATAAGGGCTTAAAATTGGATCTTCACGAGCAAATAAACTATTTTATATAAGTGTTATCGTACACCCGAGACACCCTTGCACGGAGCATCTTTTCTATCACGTTTGATATTACGTTTATAACGTGGGTTGTATTTTCTATATTGACATTTGTTTACAAAGTCAATTACGTAAAGCATGCCACAGATCAAAAGTTCGCATTGCGCGTCCCCTAGTTTGTAAATAGTCTCCAGATCATTGCTTGTCCTCGGATCATATTTCCACCAACCTAAGAAGGGGTAGTATATCAAATTTTGTGCGCCCTTGTATAAATGCTTTAAAAGAATTTGCAAACTAGAGAAATTTAAACAAAATGTAATAATAAATGAGATATTTATAAGAATTTCCCATCAAAAGACAACACAATTGCAGATTTTAAATGCTGATCAATTTCAATTTAGTGTAATCTTTAATTAAATTAATATTTTACCATTTCGGCCTTCGTAAAACCATTGGTATTCTTCCTCGGGATGTTCCAATTCCTTCTGAGGCTCCTCCACTTCCACTAACTGAGGTCTCTCAAGAAAATCTGGTGGGATCTCTTGACGACACATTGGGCATCGTTTGCTCTGATTAGCAACACCCTTCACACATAAATAGCAGTATATATGACTGCAAGGTAATCGTGCTGGATGAATGCAAGGTTGCAGGCACACTGCACATTCTGGTACGACAGTAGGACCTACCAAGCAACACATAGATCAATATGTATGTAAAATGTAAAAATAAGATTAAAATATTAAAATTTTTTATTAATTTTTTATTAATTTCTTATTAATTAACAAAAGATTGCAGTTATTATATATTTTCAGTAAGAAATTAATGATAGTTTATCATAAGCTGTGTTTTATTTGCTGTTTACAGTGCTCCAGGAATTATTTTATCTTTATTGTTTATTAACTTTTAAATAACAAAGATAAAAACAAGGACAAACAGCGGTTCTGTGAGTACCAAATGGAATGTACCTACAGTGAATCATTTCATCTTTATTTAACATTGGTAAACAATAAGGATGTAAGTCTGTTTTTATAGCTGAACTAATGTATACTTTTTATACTTAAAATAAAATAGATACATAATTTAAATTTGGTAAAAAAAAAGATTCTAATGCAGTCTACTGCAGCAATAAAACAAATCTATTGTGTTAAACTATATCACCTATGTCTTTTGCTAGAATCCATAAAGTGTAAAAAAATATAAGGCTGATGTTCATGGGTCAATATATATCCATAGTCAATTCTTATATTTAAAATTGTCTTAAGTACAATCTTAAGATATCGAAGATCTCACAAACCAATCAGAGGGCTATATTAGCATCTTAGAAACTATTTAATCTTAACATAAGAATCAACTGTAAATACTGGCTGTAATCTGTTATTATTTTAAGACCATCTTAAGTGATATATTAAGATGCTAATACAGTCTTCTTGGTTCATGACATCTTAAGTGTACTTGATGTAATTTGATTATAAATATTGACTAAAAACATGATTATATATATACTTTTTTTATATTCTAATAATATAATATATAACACTATTTTACATGAATGTTATGTGTTATATATAATGCGATTGCTATTATAATATATAAACAGTAGTATAGATCTTTTTATTTAAAACTACATAATGTATTATTACATAGCGTATCATGGAATATAGTTTTCGGATGATAATGCAATGATTCATGTTAGTATAATGACAAGTACGTACCTTCCTTTTCCTCGGAATCCTTGTCCTTTTCTTTAATACCGCCAGATTTCTCCGGCACGTCGAGTTTCGCTTGTGCCATGACAGAGAAGATCATACAATTTGACCCGATAGGGTCAGAGCTTCATCGATATAATCAATTCCTTGTCTAGTTTGTAAACAGCAGCACGCGTCTTATCAATACTCGCGAAGGTCAGCCATGTTGCTTATTATTATGACGTTCCCCGGGGCTCTCAACTGTTCTCAACCTCGTGATGTGACTCGCGCGTAGTCTGAAGTTATCGCCGTTCCTGTCGTTCATGTAGGATTTGAAATGTGTGCTTCGAGATTGCGATTTTCGTGATCACGATGTTCAAGTCATGAAGATCGGTCGAACGCACATGTGAAGATCTGTTCGTGTAGTATAATTTTTTGACAAATAATTCCGTTGGCGATAATTTCATGCGCGATCTTATCTTTCAACGGTTCGGAAACTCGCGCAGTAAGCAAGCATTAGTATTTGTCAATTATCGACACTTATCATTTTCGAGCTCCGTGAGTGATACAATTCTTGCATGTAATTTCATTTTGAACGAATTTTATTCTTTTTGCTTTAATGCTGACAAAATTTTAAATTTAACAGCGAAATTACTTTGCATTTTTTCTGTTGTTGCAAATAAAAATGATATTCGGGTTTTTTTTTCAAGTTGACGGAAATATGAGCCAAGAAGGAACACAAAGGAAGGAAAATCAATTTCGATCATTTATAAATCTTTTCTTCGCAGCCATTCGATTGAATATGATATACTGAAGCAAAATGGTGGATGAAGTGATCGCAACACTGGTAAGTAAATTTATTAATTAGTGGAAAAGAGAGATAAAAGTTCTCTAGAAATTATTTATTCACATGACTGATTATTAAATACTGTGCTCTCCATTGCAGTGCACCTTCGATCTCTTGTGATGATAATAATGGTTTTTTATTCTGTTCTTACATTATATTGCGTTCATTTATAATTAAGCAGTTATAAACTTATAAATATAACGTGTTTATCATAACGCTGTACAGTGAATTGATTGAACCTTGACTAGGATGAGGAATGGGACTTAGGACAACTTTGATAAACTCTGATGAATAATTAATTGGATTATCAAACAGTATCCATTATATTTTATTAACATTTATGGATTTCTAATTAATCTCTTTAATTTGATCTTAATTATCTTTCTCCAATTCTTAGAACTAGAAAAAGATGAAAAAAGTAAGTTAAATTGGGGTTAAAGTTACTCTGATTCAAATATTTATTGATAGAATTAATTACAGATTAAGTTAATCACAGTTTGATCGAAATCGATTTCAGAATAATTTCAGCAATTTATAATGAAAGTAATAAATTTATCAATTTACTATTTTATTAGCATGGAAATTATTAATTTTTTAAAATTATTAATTTTTTACTATTAATATTTATTTATTATTATACGGAAAAAATTCCATGGTTCGGGAACAATGGATTATATAATTAGAAACTTTGCTTTAAAAGCAATTTTATCAGTTAATTATCAATAAAGTTAATATTTAATCGAAGAATTTGATCAAAGTCGTCTGCAGTTTGAAAGTTCGTCGTATTAATTTTTAACATGATAAAATTTTGGGGAATAAAAAAGAATGGGCTTCTTTTATATTTTGAGATTTTTTAAGAACGGAGAAACTTTTATCAGCTCACTTTACAACAATAATTAAAGAATTATTATCCTACGGATTTACAAGATATTTTTTACAAGTACCCTTATGAGATTGTATGGAACGATATACATCTTTGAGCACAACAGCTTTCTATTAGCTGCAAAAAGACCGTATCGAGTTTGTCACGATCACTAATTATTATATTGTTAAGCTCGTTATCACGTTTTCAAATCCTTATTAGCAACTATAACGTCTTGTCACAAATAAAATTCGCCGATCGCGATATTGGTCCAAGCGAATCTTTTCTGATGAAACTATTTAGCTTATAGCTTGGTGCGAGCTATTAACACGAGCCTTTCGAGAAACGGATAACTTTGTGATAATGAAAGATGAACTGAAAATGGAAAATATCAAATGTGTTAAGTGCATAAAATATTCTTTAACGTTAATTAAGTTAATTAATCATGAAATATTTATTTTTGTAGCAATTATTAAAGCAAACGATTATACAAAAGAGATAAAAATCTAAAAAAGATGTTTTTTCCAAATATATATAAATATCTTTCTGACATGTTTTAGATTTTCATGCTGTTTAGATTTTTTTTAATCTAACACGTTTTTTCTCCTTTTCTCTTTTAATCTATTTTGTTTAATAACGTGTGTATAACAAAAATAATGATATTTATGAATTTGGCACTCAACACGTTCGAGACTTTCCGATTTGATCGGGAAATACGATTCGTTGTTCCTGTGAATATTCACAATAGTCTTTTAAAGGAAAGTATAAATAATCCACGATCAATCTAATGATAACACTGATTCGATAGAGGATCTATTCCTGCGTGGTAACATCGGACCACCAAGATAACTCAGTGGATTGCCGAAAATTCGTTGGCCATCCGACAAGAAGATAAGAGATGTATTGAAAGTTATCGGCTTGTCTGGTGCTAAAATGAAATAATCTTCATAATTAACTCTACTCGATTAAATAGATTTTTCTCGAAATTACATATACATGTAATCCCCATAGTAAAAAAAATAAGTCATAATAATATCACAACAAAGTCATGATGACACCTATTATTATAAGGTGTATTCAGATCTAAAATACTGATTGGATGATCTAAAAGAATACATCAATAACAGCGAGCGCTCATTCAACTGTTGAGTCCGCTGAACACAGCTATTATAATAATAGGTGTTTAAATATGTCTTAGATTATTATGTGTAAAAATTATTAATAATCTATTTTAAACTTTATTATCATGTGTTGTTAGAATTTCTTAATTCAAAGGAGGAAATTTTTTTTATGTTACTGACCTAAGTAGTTCCCTTGCATCTTCGATTGTTTTCCAACGTCTCCGTCCGCAGGCGCCTAAACGATAAGTGAAAGTTGGTTTTAAAATACTCAATATCTCGCCATACAATGGCGAAATAATGAATTCATTCTATTTTCTTCAATCTTTCTGGTTAGTGCATGTACGTAGCAAACACGCTCAAACAACTTGAATGACTTGTCTCATAGAGCCTCAGAGGTTTCTGTAGCTCAAAGCGTGCATGCGATGAAGTGAATGTTTTTCACGTGCCACGAATAAACCTGTTTCATCAGGCAATTCGGGTTAATCGCTGTCTATGAACTCGTGCAGGTTGTAATAAAAGGCTTCATCGATGTCTTCGTGGAGTTTTCTTAAATCGATAATTAATTTAATTTGGGAATGGCGCCGGTTGTAATTTACATCAAGCATCGGCGTGCTCAGATTTTTTCGATTCAAACGCGCGAAAATAATTTTATTTGTTGCAATACAAAATGCGACGATTACATTTCTTCATGATAAAGCTGAATTTATATCAAATTATTTAAACAAGAGATTCTCTGGATTTTATTCGTTAGATTCTTTAAGAGAGATCATTCGGATTTTTAATAAATTCCTTCCAAGTAATAAAAAAATTAAATTATTATATCAGATCATCATGCACATGCTTATCTAATAGCGAGAGAAAAAGTAACTTGTTATATATAAAATGCGTTGTTTAGATGAATCGTATAAGTAACATGTAAAATACAATCTATCGAATCATTTGTTCATTCCCGGATTAGAAAATTTCATTGTGAGGAAAGGCGACGAATTTGCGAGAAGAAGCTTGGTGTAGGAGAGGCGTGACAGATGGTTATAGCGATGTAACAAACTCGAGTTAATGGAAAAAAATCGTATATTTTCTCTGTCATTTTTCGTCTGTATAACATGCTATAAAATGTATCGAGATTGACTCACGGATTGATGATTAAGAACTGCTAATTTCTTCAGAAGAATATAAATTTTCTTATTTCGAATGGAATGCATCGTAATGCACGTTTGTATCGAAAGAAAGATACATTCGAACACGCAAATACCTCTTTCATTCGCAAGTTATGATCTTATAAAGTTTATAATATAAATTGTTAATATAGCTAATAAGTATTTAAAAGAAAACGGCGTTTAGATAAAAGCATTTAAATAAAAATGCATAAATCGCCAAAAGTGGAAATCATAAAATGTAAAGTCCACTGATTAAAATTTCGAGATAATAAAACTTTTCGTATTAATTTCAGTGACAAAATATTATTTAATATATATAAC